TTTATACGTTTTTATATCCTGCAAGAAACGTCAGTGCATCTTTGTTATTATAAAATTACTGTAAATCGGAAAACGAATTCCATGGAAAAAAGGGGAAGAAACCATTTCTTTTACAACTTTGCTGTGAGGTGAGATCACATTGATTTAATCATCGCTGTTCTCAAAGTCCATATCTGCACAAACGATGTGACCAAATGATGTTTTTGTCCACTGTTTATAGAAAGTGGGGAAGCCGATGTCTTCAAAAGTTTCAGGTAAAAATCCATAATATTTAACTATGGAGGATGGAAACTTCATGTTATAATTTATTGCTGAAGAATAGTTTGCCATTAGAATGTGGAGGTTGAAAGGCAGAAAGTATACGAATAGATAAAAATAACTAGATTCATTTTTCATTGAGTATATACTCTAGTCACGCATAGAGGGTGTCCAAACGTAAAACGTTTGCTGGAAGTTTCACTCGAAGTTTCACTCATACATGTCAACTACCAGTCGGTTTTGCTTTTTCATCATTGCCTAATGATTCTGTTGTATGAGAAGCAGGAAGTAGATTTTTTGTGACGTGATATATTTCTTCTTTTCTTCAGCAACTGATAGAAGGCAAGTATCAAAGACGAAAGAGCACAAAGGTATGCACAAACGTGCAACAAAGATTTTAGAACTTCGGTATAATCTTTCAAAACCTACGTTGTGAAATGTCACATGTGCCGTTTCCTTTTTTTTCCTTCTGACACAAACCTGTCTTCAGGAAGGGGAAAGAACAAGTTAAAAGATGCGCTTACTCGAGCTGAGGACCTTCCCGCGAAAAGAGTTCGCAAAAAGATTGCTATCAGGTACTTAAACTTTACCTGAAGCGAGAACAAATCATGGCATGTTCAATATAAGATTTAAAGGTCCTACAGTATGGAAGTCTATGTGTGAAAAGTCTTTCAAAATTTAAGGAATAATCAGTGCAATACGATCTCGTTTTGAATTGTTATCAGAGATATGTATTTATATCAGCTGAGATTGTAATTCTGTCTTTTCCAAATTATCTTCTTAGTTATTAGTTTGTTAAATTCTGTAGACCTTTGTAGGCCTTGATATCAATTATTTTGTATAATATGTATTTGATGTTATAATGTTGTTGCTGATCAGTAATTCATTTTCATTCAATGCTGTTGTCTACTGAGTACCTGGCTCCGCTAGCCCCTATGGTTACTCCAGATAGCCAATACTCTCAGTTTTTATTTTCAATATTGTTTTTTAACTTGACAAATACAAGAGTAGAAGTAATGATTGTTGTTGTTGTTGTTTTTGATAGGGAATGAAGATACTGAACGTTAATGCAGGTGGAGATGGCCAAGATCTTTCTTAATTCGAAATTGCCTTTAATTAAAACCTATCGTGTGAAACGAGAATGGCAACATCGTTACTTCCCGCTGTGGGGAATTAAAGTTCACCACTAAATTTTATCCGATTCGTACTGGTTTGAATTGATCACGAGACGCGACAGTGTTAATCCGTGGAGAGACACCATCGGCCCGTAGTGCCCGTCCGCGGAAAATCAGTGAAAAAATTGGAATGGTTTGACGGCCGCGAAGTTAGGCAGATCGTAAAACAATGACTTTTCAATTCTGACAGGTACAACGTATTATTTAGCCAATGTACAGTTGCGAATTAATGACATTTGTGACAGGCTGTACGCATGAACACATATTTGATTGATCCGCATTTAGTGGGTTTTGGCTGTTTTTCAACTGGCGCGAGGAGGAAAATTTAGTGGTGAACAATAAAGACAAGAGAGTGTTTATCGGTCTGATAGTTGCCCCTTGGAATTTTGATGTTCTTTAAAATAACGTATTTGCCCACGGATAGTGACTTTGGAACGTATCTGTGTGACCTCAATAGAAAGACATTGTTATTGAAGGGTGAAAATGGTCCATTTCGCATTTACTTAAATACGATTTAAGAAATAAAACCAAGGCAAAAGTCCTCGGTCAAATACTGATTTGAAATGGTTAAATGTATTTTTGTGACATGAAAGGCGTCACGTTTTCTCCGCAGGGTGAAAATAGTTGATTTCAAAAAATAGTAACTCTTCTTATCTTACTGCTTTGCAAAATGAATAAAAATCCTTCTCATTGATTGAAGATTACTCCAAATCCTCGTGAAAGTCACCTTTAACTTATTAGAAAATATATCTGCATTATTCT